ATAAAATTTTACACTGAGACTTTATTATAAAATATACACCATTTTTTAAATCTATCACGTGAACAAAATTGTCATTGCAGGTTTTGTGCCTATAATCCTGTACAGTACATCCCTGCTAGAATGACACAGCAGCATAGCCTGTTGAGCCTGAACAGAGTTCATGGTGGGACAAGGCAGAGATTTGGAGCTTGAAGCCTGAAGTGCATGTGTGGCTGATGTATCTTTGTCATTTTTAAAACTCTCTTCTGGTCCTATTTGTTCCCTAACTCCTGCTTTCTTATTTCCAACATTTTAAAATAACACTGAAATAGTGGAGTTTCTGTTTATTGAGTTGTTGATACAGAGACCTTCCTTAGTGAAGCATGAATGACAAAAGATCAGGCACATCAGGTCAAAGGTGAATCTGGTTTTTGCATGTTCCAGCATCACAGCTCAAGAATCTAAAATGTGAAGAATGAAGGTAAGTATAAGAAGAAAAGGGTTTGTGCAGCGTGGGCTCCAGTATCCTTGACAATATGCAGCAGCATACAAGAAGGGTAACCACACTGCCCAAAGATGTCTTTTTCATAAGGAGCTGAAATAAGATTTACAAGAGCTGTTTTTTTTTTCACCTCTTCATAGCCATAGCCAACATTTGAAAAGGTAAAGGAAATGATATTCCTTTAAGAATGCAGTACTATACCAGATGCCCCATGCTTTGCAACTTTGAGAGCTTTGATTTTAAAATCAATTTATGGTGGAGGTATTAATGAGATCCTGGCTCAGATCTAGATCAGGTTACAAATTAAGGAGAGCACATTTCATTGAAAACTAAATTCTAAAAAAAATCATTAACAACCTTTATCCTGTAATTGGCAAAGAAATGAGACGAGACCATGTAGCAAGAGCATCAAAAGAGGCAGGAAACAGAGCTGCTACTGCCCTCTTTTTCCATTTGAATATAATGTATGTGCTGCATTGCCCTTGCTGCTGGTTTATTAAAATATCACAGGAAGGAAGCAAAGAGCTGGGTCAGCTTGTCTGGTACAGGGACACCTGCCACCATTAGTCAGCCACGGCGGAGTCTTTTGCACAACAGGGAATTAGAGCATTTCAAACTGACATTTTCAAAACATTTTACTGCGCTAGCAGCACAAGAAAGTCCAGTAACAACACTAACTTCTTGCCAACACCTTTGTAATGTCTGATTGAACAATGCTTTTCCCAAAAGCTGTGATCAGCTCATAACTTAAACTCTTTGCATTTAATTGAACACATCTAGCACAACCCATGTGGCAGTCATCACATGACAGCTGGTAAACGTCGCAATAGTACACGAACTCTGCTGTAGTCTAGGTGGCTTCTAGCCAGGCCAAAGCTTCTGTGTAAGGGTTATAAACCATATACATAAATTGCCCAAAGACATTAAAAATAGCAAATGAAAGTTCAGAATATACCTTAAGTGAGAGCATGTTTTCTTTTCCAATTTTACCTCAAGTATGGCAGGCTGAGATCATAATCTTTACCGATACTGTGGTGCAAGGGTTAGTATTGCTGCCTCACAGCACTGGGGTGCTGGTTTTCAATTCCTGGGCTGCTGTCCTCATGAGTCACGGTATTTCTTTCAGGTTCTCCGGCTTCTTCACAGTCCAAATAGTGGTACAGTAGGTTACTTGGCTCTAGTGTGACTGTATGTGCGTCTGTCTGCCCTGCGATGGACTGGCATCCACTGCTTGCTTAGCTAGACTCCAGCTCCCCCTTATCCTTGTATTAGATATTGCCACTTGAAAAGGAATAGATAGCCTTTTACAGTCTGAAGTCAAGTAAAAGGATTTATCCTTTTCTCATTTTTAAGGGTTATTTTGGCATCCCTCATTAAATATTTATAACATCCGATAAAAACAGCAAAACATGCCAGCAAAGCAAAAAATAAAAGGCTTGAGAGCTCTTGCCTGAAGGTCCCAATATACAGTACTGATGGACAGATGCATGCAGAGGCAAACTAACTCTCAAATACAGTACAATATAAACTGAGCTCAATTCCACTGGAGAGAAAAAAAAAAAGTCACAAAATCATGCACGATACTCTAAGTGGTACGACCAACACAGTGAAGGACGTGTACTTCACAGAGAACTTTGCCTTTTGTTGTCACTGTCTGTTACTAACCTGTTTCAATTTTAAGGAACTTGAAGGAAAGTTGCAGGAGTTTAAAGACTTCCATGATGGAGAGTAAAGAGATTAAAATCCAAAGCCATGAAAGGGCTTTTTTTAGTTGGCATGTTACTCAAGTTTTTTTACATTTCAAAGTTCATAAAATTTTAACATATTCAAATAAAAGACAACATCAACCTATTTTACAACATCCTTGAAAGTTGCAGTAAGACAGATCCACAACTACTGATCCAAATCACTGAACTCAAAAGCCTCCAACAACTAAAGACCTTTGAGACACAAAAATTACAAGTTTTTAGCTTGTAAGCACTTTCCCCTTTGGTAGCTATAGCTCTTGCAGTAACAATGCCCGTTTCTTTGCAAATAACACCGTGATGATCTATTTTCAGTTAAATATAATACTACACAACAAAAGATGACTTCTCTCAAGTTTTCAGTATCAATAAATATATATTTTTTGCAACAAAATTAACAATAAACATTCCTCAACAAAAAACACATCAATCAGACAAATCAATGCATATCTTGAGTCTGTGTTGACATTTCATCTCTATAGTACAATTTACTGGAGGCACTGCCAGATTTGAGCCTTAGCCTGAACCCACTAGGGTATGCGCATGAAATGATTGACAATGCCCAGGTAGATATGGTACTTTGTGGAAAAGAAACTCAATGTTGAAAGCTACAGAAATGATCTTTTGATGTACACTTTAGCTGGGATGAGGGGGCCACCACTATTCCCAGTTCAGTATAAACAGTGCATGAGAGAAGACGTCTTTGAAAATGAAGTAATTTAGACTTCAACCCTTTATGGTAAAAATCTATCAAAAAAATGACAGAAAAATTCATTACCATTTGCAGGAGCAATACGCAGTGCTTTCAAAATAGTATAAGGCTCTATTTTACATTTACCCTGCTAAGAGTCGTATTTCCAAACCAAAGGAGAGGTATGTAGACTGTGAAACTTTCAGAGAGCTGTGCTTTACTGCATCACTGACTGGGGTTTGAAAAGCTTGATCGCAGAGCTACAACTCGGGTATTAAACGAACGCCAGTTTCACAAAAAAGGCATTCTCTATGAAGTGGCGCTCATTAATCTGTGCACAGTTATTAAAGAGGAAAAGACCTAATTTCAGGCCAGCGTGGCTCAGAAATTAGTTTCTTTCTCCCAATCTGCTTGCTCATGAGCATGAGTCAGGGCTCATGCCATCAGTCATTTACCACTCCATGCAGTACTCAAGCTCTCCTCATGATGGGGCTGTAAACAGGCAGTGAAGACAGGAAAGAAGGAACAAGCATTTGAACCAAGCCCCATTCTTCCCCTGAAAACATTCTGGATTCATTGGCTGTTTTTTTTTTCCTTTATATAGACAAAATATAGGTTTTGGTCAGAATGCTTTGGGCTTTTCCTCTACAACCTAACAATTGTTAAAATACAAAAAAATGATATATCACGTAAAAATACCAACAGCGTTACTCTCCCCTCCTCCCTCTGGCAACACGGCATCATTAGTGTTCAGTGTGTGGAGAGCAGAGGAGGGCTGGGGCAGACTCTTTTCTGGCTGAGTGAGAAACAGGCGGCTCTCAAGTGCCTTGGACCAGCTGCCCTCACTGCCAGTGAAGGCAGCAATGCAGCATGAAAGGGGGGAGTCTCCAGGCTCCTCAGGGCCACGCCGTGTCCCTCATTCTTTCCCTGTCTCTCAAAGATCCTCAGAAGGGAGAGTTCATCCCCAGTTTGGTCTCAAATTGTAGCTTCTGCCTCTTCTGGTAGCGTACTCGCACCCTGAGGGAACACACAGAGAGATGAGAGGTACTTCACTTAAGTCTGTCAGAACACAAACCACAAAAGACATTGGGTATTTTTTATTTTTTATTGGACTCTTCTAAACCTTCACAAAGGGAAAGCACTATTTTTAAATTACCACTAGATTCGTGTTTAACACAACGGTTGCAGTATGCAACGTGCAACACTGCTAAACAACCCTCAAACTGTCCATCCTATAATGATTTGAGGCGGGGGTGTCCAATCCTTGTCCTTGCAGATTTTCTAGATCTTGGTACAGCACTATCCCTCAACCAATTCAGACAATAATAAGCTGATAAGGCAATTAAGAGCTAAGTTGAGATAAAGACCTGCAGATGAACCAACCATCATACCAGGCTTTGACAACCCCTGGTTTGCAGCCTCTGAAAATTGTAGTTTTTTTTTCAATAGCTAACGCAAGTAGTTAAAATTAAAGCCCCACTTTCTCTGTACTTGTCCAATCTCTCCAGTCCCCCCCTCTCGATCTCTGTATCGGACATCTCTCTGCATCATACCTGATCTCATGCAGTTTCACCACCTCATTCACTAGCACCACCAGCAGCAGAGACAATGACATCAGCAGCCACACCAGCAGGGGGATATCTTCCAGGGTAAAGGTCACAGAGGACTGGCGGTTCTTCCACACCTGGAAATCCACTGTGGCCTGGACCACCTGTCCCAGCAACCTGCAACCCCACAGTAGACAAGCCAGTTAAACGGACCTCGTCGTTGACGTCTACACTGTTCATGAGACAGACTTTTAATGCTATTTAAATCTGAAACATGACAAATATACAGTGCACTGCTATGCTGACTTCTTAGTTTTTGTTTTTTGTACTGTTCTGGTCTTTACGCTTTATGTTTTTCATTCTGTATGCAAAACATTCTGTAATTGTCTGATATTTTAGCCATTTTGCTTTATAGTTTTTTTATTTTGGATTTGTACTGAAGGTACTTTTTTTTTAACTTTATTGCTGTACTCAGATGACCCCGTGATGATAAACCAGACCTGATCCAACCAATTCCCCAAACGAATTACAGTACAAAAACACCTATACACAGCCTCTCATTAGCAACCGCAGCACTTACAAAACACGATCGTGCTGCTTAGTTCATTTTCATTGTGTATTTCCCAAAGAAAATGGATGAAAAGTGTTTTAACTGCAAGTACATAATGTTATAAGGCTGTTGTCTGAACCAAGGTGAATGACAAAATAATGCTCTTGATACATAGGTCTGCGAGTCCTAGCAAGGCTTTCACTCTTGCTTTATCCCCTCTGAATCACTGTCTTAGCAGTACCTTTTCCTACAAGTGTCTGGCAAAATCTTTCAGGAGCTTTACATTAGCAGCAGCTTATGATGCCCTATCAGTGGACACAGACGTGCTGGACAGCCATCAGTCTCTGTTCAGGTGCAGCTGGCCTGTTGTCTTGGTAGATGCTAGTGTGAGGTGAGATGCCTTGTGCTAAACAACACCTTTCCTCATACAAAATAGGCATTTTCTTAACAAAGAAATTAGAATCTTTTACCCTAGGTGCTTGCATAAAAGAATTGGATTCTGTAAAACAACAATAAGAATACAACAATGGGTGGCACAGCTGTGCAGTGGTTAGAGCCGCAGCCTCGCAGCTTTGGGACCCTGGGTTCAAGTCCAGACCAGTGGTGCTATCTATATGGGGTCTGTATGTTCTCTTCTCTGCCAGGTTAACTGGCTTCTGGAAAACTTGGCTTGTTTGTGTAATGTTGCTGCAGATATCAATTCTATCCAGGGAGTTGCATTCTTGGAAAAGTATAGGAAGTGCTTTTAACTTTAGACATACTATAATATGCGAATAGAGTACAGCACACTGGCAGAAAAACCCAGAACAGGCACTGACAAGTACAAGCTCACAAACTCACTGTATACTGTAGCTGTACAGAGGCACAAAGAAACAGCAGAGCTGGTGCTGGGACATGCATGACAAGATTGAGACCACAAGGAGAATACGGAGAGACTTACACCACAGGAACAGTCAGGCACCACCAGGTGTTGCTGAAGGGGCTCTTTCTCCAAAGGGGTTTGGAGCGGTGGACGTGACTGAGGGAGATCACCACTGAACCAGAGAGAGAACAGAGACAGAGAGGTAGGGGAGTCACCAGCAGAACAACATGGAAGAGCACCAGAATTCTCAACAAATGACCCCATGCACATTGCAGTCAGGAGAAGGAGATGCTCAAAGAGATCTTCTGAAAGCATCCATCCTGAATACCTTCTCTTGAGAAGCTACAGTAGCTAAGAAGTCCACACAATTTTATCTGCATTTTACAGGGGTTTGTAGGGAGAACCATCAAGACCTGGCTCTTCCACTGGCACAATGTGTGTCACCCTGGTAAAGTTACTTGGTCCGTCCTTGGGATGAAGCATCAATGTGTCATCAATATATGGTGGTCAATATCTCTATTGCTGTGACTGTTATTGCTTAGATCACTTTCTACTTTCTTTACAGTATTACAGTAAACTCATTATTGCATTTCTGAAGCAGTGCATTTAGATGATTTATTGGTTAGTGACTATGGATCTCAGCCAGTTTGCAAAAGTAAGGCACTTTTAGAACTCTATCACTTAGATTTACCATTTGACTATTGGTATTAAGGATGTGCTTGCTGCTCAGTGCTGTGTCTGTGTTAAGGAAGTGTTTGCTGCTCAGTGCTGCATCTGTTTTCAAAAGACATGTGAGTCAGTGCTGTATCAGTGTTATGGTTGCACTTGCTGCTTGGTGCAATGTCTGTTAGGAAGGCATGTGTGGCTCAGTGCTGTGTCTGTGTAAAGATTGTGCTTGCTGCTCTGTGCTGTGTCTGTTTTCAGAAGGCACATGTGGCTGATTGTTGTGTCTGTGTATTGTTTTAATTGTGGTCTTTATCGAGAGGTGCAGCACCTGTGTGAAGTGCCAGGAATCCCGCCATCACCTTCTGTATCAACAGCAAACCATTGGAGAACTCCCCATACCACTTGGGGGCATCCTGAACAGAACTGAAAAAACAGTGTCAAAACACACAGCGATTAGCAGACACACCAGACCACCAAAGGGGGCTTGCTGTGCCTACTGCAGATATACTGTAGCAACTTCATGTAGCAAAATCCTTTTCTAAGATTTCTAAAAACTATAAAGGTCTGTTGGGAAATCCATCATAATACTATCAATACTAAAACAGAAATATACAGCAGGTGACCTGTTCTTCCCAAACCAAATTGATTTTGATTCTGGTAAATAGCTCAGTTTCTTCTTGAATGTGCAAAATAATGCACATTAATATGCTATCTATGCCTTTTTAAAAGGCTATAGTAGAGCTTGTCCAGTTGGTTAATGACCTTATCTACAGAAGCAGACCTGCAGACTCTATAAGAGGGACAGCAGGTCACATCTAGCAAATGGCTAGCTACTGTATAATGTGACCAAAATAGAAGGTAACATACTAACAGGCAAAATGTCCCCAGTGCAGGAGAAGGCACTCACCTCTTGGAAAGGATGGAGCAGTTGGTCGAGTTCACACTGCCAGTGTTGCAAAACCCCTCCAGGGTGAAGCCAAAGCCCACCAGGTAGGCACACATAGTTAGGCTGAACTTCAGCAGGAAACACACTAGGAAATACTGTTGTGTCTGTCAGGACCAGTGAAAAACACACAACGTTCCCTTATTGTGCTGCAGAGCTCATCTATCAACTCAAAACGTGGGTGACATTTTTTGTGCACATCAGTCCAATTACTGTAAAAGTTGCACCCAACACAATGTGCCTACAGTTTGACACCAGGGTCCTTTACTAATCCTTCCACGGCTACAGAGAAACTATGCAACTGCTATGAGGTCTTGCACAATGTACATAAACATTACATATACCCTACTTACAGTGTATACAGTAAATGAACCGACATCTGTCACTGCTAAACTCCCACCCCAGGAAGAGCCAATGATCATTAGCCATCAGAAATAAGTGAGCAAGGAAACTCAATTGCTTTTTCCCCACGGCTAGATGAGCTGGTTCTAGAGAGTACAGTAAATGCAGCACACTGTATGCGCAGTGAGTGAAGGGCCACAAATTGACATTTGCCTGACATAACAACCAAGATACCTGATGTCCTATTAACTGATCACATACATTGATTAACTATGTGCCTCTGTCCACCACTGAAAGCCCACATGGAACGAGTGAGAACAAAACAGAAAATGTACATAATCACAGCTCAGACACCAAACAATATGACAGAGAACATAACTTTAGATGGAAAACTGTTAAAAATTGATGAACATTTCTTGAGCAGAGCCTCACAGTGTCCGGGTGTAAGGGCTGAGGAGTAGAGAGACAGAGTTAGTGTGCGACCCATTGCGAGTAAGAGGACTCACCTTCCTGGGAATGGAGTCCAGGTTCTTCCCTGTGGCCACAGTCATCACCAAGCTGTCAGCAGGCTTTCCCAGGAACGACACACTGCCACAGACACACACAACACAGACTCCCTTTGTTTTCAAAAGCATGGGGCACCAACCGTATATCATCTCACACTTTTTGACAAAAATTGTCTTGACAGAAAAATCTGTATTGCAAACATGTCAGTGATTTTATTATCTGCTGTGTATTTTGTGCTTACTGAACAGAGTACAGTTTTCAGTACAGAGTAATAAAATGTACAGTACCGTACATCTAAAACTGTTAAAAGGTAACTCTCTAATGTTTATTTTATTATTTACTGCACTGTGTAATTTTAAGTGTATGGTATATTTTGATGATGATTATTTTATTAAGCAAAATGTTTTTATAGTAATTGTTTACCGAATGGTAATTCTCTATATGCGTTTCGCGGATCAGCTAAAGCTTATGCCCGACTTTTACGCCCGATAAAATTAGGGGTGTGGTGTACTTTAATTGGATGCACTGAGACTTAGAATTCAGTCTTGTAAATTACAGTAATCTGCTGCTGCAATGTGGTGCCACAGGAGGTAAAGAACTCAGGTCCCTCTTTTCTCAGCCTTTTCATTTCCAGTGGATCTCTAAGCTCTTTGCAGGGTCTCTCACCTGAGAAGAGGGTAGCAGAAGCAGGAGAGCCACAGCAGGTCAGTGATGTTGATGGGAGGAGGGAGCTGGAGGAGACAAGCCAGGAACTAGGCAGACAACAGACACTACTGTCAAAGTTTTTACACATTACCGTACATCAGTGCTCCGTGACAGCTGGAGATGGTTTCTAGAATAACTATGCAGGTCTTACTTTTAGGAGGCCAGTCCTTTAAAAAATCATATGATCAGGAATGGCTCTAAACCACCAGAACGATGGGTCTTTTGAAATGAAAATGGTAAACCATCCAGGGCCGTGTTATCTCTGAGCCACAGATTCTTGTGGAATTTCCTCCATCTGTCCAGTGTCTAGAGTGGGGCAATCATTTAAGTATTTCAAAAGCAGTTTAAAGCTCTTCTCACAGGGCATAAACTTGGTAAATTTAAGTCTGACAGACCGAAAGCACTGAGCTTTGAGGCACATTCTCCTGGATCCTAGCCGTACTCTCCTAACCATTGTATTCCACATAACCAACATTGAAAAAGCAGACCTGACAACACAATCTGGCACCTGCTCACATCTTGCAATGTCAAACCCTCCTAGATTCCCTTTCAATGCTGTGCCGCACTCACCTGGATTATGACAAGGGTAAGCTGGCACTGCAGCAGGAAAAGGAAACATTTTCTGATGCCATAGGTGGTGTGGCGAGCCTGAAACAGAGGAACAGGGAGCTACTATCCAAGCCTGATTACACTGCAGTACCATGGCTCCCATGAGCTTCCCCAATGTATAATTATAGTTAAGAGTATCACCATATTCTTCATAGGTATGTGATCCAGTAACGTTGTGGCACTCCTGCTGATTTCCAGCAATGTTGTGCTGCAACCTTGTACGGTCAATATTCAATGCACAAGAAGATCTTCGCCCCCACCTGAAGAGTGCCTGGTCTACCCAGCTCATGCCTATACAAGTCACTTAGTCCCCACTGTGGGTGAGGATTGCGGTCTTAACCCAGCAAGAGCATGGAGGAGTTTGAGAAGGTCATGAATAGCCTCAACATTTCCAAACTTAGCCAGACTGCTTTTGCTCTACCTGCCAAACTTTTCCATAGCACAGACTAACAATGTACTGTGGCTGAATTGAGTTCAACCACACCAACCCTGCAGTGAAGCCTGTATATGTATATATGTGTGTGTGTTTTGCTGACATATGTGTTGATGGAAAACTACATGAGTTTTATTAGTTCAAGGCTGTACTGTGTTCATGTATGATGATATTTACGAGGACCAACTTTAAAAAATATATCCTCACAAATCAGGATGTTCTCATTAAGACACAAGAAACAAGGCACTGCAAGGACCAGTCACGACGTTTTTTAAAAGGCAAGTTACTGTTTTTTTTATAAACGAAATGTAATCATCTTTAAAATCTAAGAGAGCCAACAGAAATGATTATGTGTCTTACAATGGAGAAAGACTGAGACACAGTGGGAGGTCCTCCCAAGTGCAGAAATACATCCCTGTGTGCTGATACGGGTACCTGCTCAATGAGTTTGACCACACTGACACTCTCCTCCTGGTGGAAGGAAGCAGAGCAGGCCAGGCTGTTGAGGAGGCCGGACAGCTGCAGAGGGGAGAGCTCCTCCGAATCCACTAGGCTATTAGTGGCTGCATAGCCAAACGTCTCCCAGGAGCAGCGAGAGGGGTACAGAGGGTCCAAGGCAATGCTGTCAACACACATTAGTCAATGAGCAGACTTGAAGGCTTCAAAATAACTTTTTTATCCTTGTAGGATATGTTAAAAGCATCAATTGGTAGCAGAATGCAGGATTCAACTATCAGTGTTATTTCTAGGCAGGTTTATCTAGGAAAAGCCAAAATAAATCACTTGCTAGAGTTTTTCCAGAGTTTTTTAATACATTACTTAAAACTATGTTTATACTTGAAAATTCAAGCTTGCATCGCCAACTAGATGACAAATGATGAGCCAAGGCCTGCAGTGAAAACCACATTAACATGATCATATTTAATTTTATTAACCAGATTAGAATTACCAATTGTTTCTTCAGGCCATCATGCAATATATCAATACCTCCTGTCCAGCACAGGAAAAACAATCATGGGCAGACATCATCCTCCAAACTGCCCCACCATTGTTCTTTTCATCTTTTGTCATGCTATGACCTTCCCAGAGCACAACTGGACACCCGATGCCTACCAGCTTCCCGGAGCCCTATGGGACACTCTATGCGAACTCGGGGAGAGGGGTGTTTCTCACAGAGACGGGAGTTGCCATTTCCGAAGACTGGCTAGCTAATCCCAAAGATACCCTTCCAAGGTGTTCAGCCAATTACATGCCACCACCTGGAAAATGTTGGTCATAGCTGACTGATGACATGATCCAGGCCTGAACGTGTATTATCTGAGCAATTAGGGACACAAAGAAGTTTCCATCCTCATCTGGGATTTCCTCTATATCCCTCCACATTTTTCACAAACTGACTATGGTTTCCCATGTTGTAAATTTACCAGTCTTTTACGTCACAAGCAGTAGCCTCTATACAATAGAAGACAATTACAGTGCCAATATTGTAAGCTTTTCTAATATGTTGTAGACTAGTGTAGTAATGTGCAATGAAAGCACTGTAAAATAAAAGAAGAGTAAAGTTAAATGCAAAGCAAAAACCACTGCAAAAGAGGTTTATATGTGTAACCTTAAATCATCTTCAGTCCTTGATGACACGTTTCCCTTATTGAAAGGACTATATTCTTAATTGACCAATTACAAGTTTATCTAGCCTACAGAAATAGGAGATTTTTTATGTAATGTACCAGATATGAACACTGTACTTTCCGACTGCCTCAGTTATCACCAATAACAAAAGGCAGGATGCAGCCCTTCAGCTGCTCCAGTGCCCATACCTGACATCACTCTGCAGGAAAAGACAGCTGTTCCTGAAGTTAGCTGAGCTTCCCAGGCAGCAGGTAACCTCACGGTTCTCCTGCATGATCTTCATCATCTCACACATGGCTGCAAAAGGCAGATGTCACGTGATTATTAACCTAGAACCCCCCCCAGGGGACTGAAGAGGAAGGAATCCTCTGTACTCTGCACTGGGTACTCAGAAACAACCAACCTTTAAAAAAATACAGTCATGTTTTTTAAAAGAGTTCAGTACAGGGCAACAAAGAAGACTGTAAAGAATTGTGGCCTACTGACACTTACTTTCTGGGGTGCAGTCAGTGAAAAGGGGCACCAGCAGAGGCACATTGTCAATGTTCTTCAAGTGGGGACGCACCTGGTGGATCCCCCGAGGCAGTTTGGCCTGGCAGGATAGAGAGTGGTGATGGGGGATTGTTGCACTCCGTCACTGATGCAGGCTAGCCAGGACACACAGTCAAAGACTAAAGCAGGAGATCATGGTACACACACTATCTAAGGCACGGAAAAAAGCAAATCCAAAGCAATCCTAAGGACTGGAAGATGCAATAACGTGTTACCCCAGGCAATTTGAAAAGCAGAGCTTCGAAAACATATTCTTAGAAATTGTTTGTAGTTTGTTACTGGAAGACTAAATGATAAATATCCATAATTAAAGAATTTGGGGAGAATATGACTGAGGCATTCAAATTCTTGAAAGTCATTTTATAAAGAGCACTATGAATTCACAAATGGTATTTAACTCCAATTCTAAAGTTGTGGACAGACAAAACTGGAAGGACTGGTTTATTGACTGGTTCCAATGGTCATTTATTGCATTTCAATGCCTCTCAAAAAATAAAAAGTTACAAGTTTGGTGAACAAACAACCAAGACATGACAGAGAACCTTCTGCAATTGAGCCTCCAATTTGTGAATTAGAACATTACTGGAAACCAAACAAGCAAGCTCTATGTAAAAAAAAAAGGATTGCATGAACTGTACTGTCATTTAAAACCTTTATTGATTTTCCAGAACCACACAGTCATATGTTTCAAGGCTGGTGAGATTCAAAGAGTGAGCTTCACGGGGCCTACCCGATTACAGTCCTCCAAGAAGCTGGGTATGTCACTGTCTGTGGGCTGGAAGCTGATGAGATCTGAGTGACCTTCCTCCTCCAACAGCAGAGGACCCTCTGCCTCATCACGAGAGTCTGCAAATAGAGATTAGAGACAAACATGCCACTGAGGCAATCAGAAGCACAGCTCAGACTACACTGAAGAAGGAGCACTAAGAATGACAACCTGTTCTAAGACAGAGAACTATGAAGAAGAGAGAAAAGATACAATGATGAGGCACCCAGCTCACAGCAGGCAGGCGGACGGCCTGCCCGCAGCAGAGAGGCAGGCAGGCAGGCGGACGGCCTGCCCGCAGCAGAGATGGAGAGAAAAGGCTATTAAGAAAGGAGCACCTTGATGCAAATCATCGTGCAGAGAGCCAGCATGGCTGGGGCTGGAAGGAGGGAGGTCACAGCCTTGGCCATCACCATTCGGTGTCAGGGAGATGTGGCAATTCCAGCCCGTCTCCAAACCCATCTTCTCAGCAAACACCTGAACAACAGGAACAAATTGAAGGGGGCAGTCATAGCTTCCAGAACAAGTTCAAGATACTCTAGATCTTGCTTGGGGAAGAATCACAATTCAGAAAACATTCTCTGCATATCTAGTCTGTGCTGAAAGAAACACATGCAGAGTGGCTCGTCTTTTTATCAACAGGTAGCTCATGCAGTTTGATGCATGTAGTATCTACCACTGTTGCTTAGCTAAGGAACATCCTTTTCACACTTATTGAATTTTTGAGACTGAAAAAAAAAATTGCACATTACCAAAATCCTGTCATAATAATACAGGTACTCAAAACTTTTTATTTTCTTGTTAAATACTGAGGACTTTCAAACTCCAACCACACACATTTCTGTGGGAGATCCTGAAAAAACAAGGTGACTGATGTCAGTGGGGTTCCTTTCAAGAATTAACCACTTCATGCATGAAATACAGAAAAAAAAATTACCCATAAATTTAAAATGATGGAACCTGTGGTGAATATTTTAATACAAATTGTACATTTTAATATAAAACCTGGCATCCTTATGTGGGTCAACATCCAGAAAAGTACAAATGTTAGTAATAACCATACAAGCACAATGGGTCAAACTGCCTCTTCTCATTGGGAACTTTCTAAATTTCTTCCTCTGAATCCAAAAAAACACTACTGATCTGGGTGATAAATGGATCTTGGGAGAGGAAATCTAGATTACCATTATAAAAAGTAACACACAAGAATACACAACAATTCAGCAACAATTAAGTATTTGATGAAATCCATCTCCATATGTGTTTGTGAAAGAAAAAAGGGTGAAACAGAGAGGTGACTGACAGCTGTTGTAGCAGTATGACTGTCACCACAGGGCTTCTCACTGGCTCTGCCTCCCCGAAGGGTGCAGGGATGCCTCATTCCCATACTGGTACAGTACCTTGCTCCGGAGCTCATCCTCCATGGAGAAGTAGACAAAACGGATGCATGCATTCACAAGAGCATCGATCAGCCGCACGGTGTCCAATCGTGCCTGGAACTGCGAGGATACCATGCCCATGAAGATCTGCCCGCTGAGCGCCTGGACGCAGTCCTCCCGCTCCATCACCTCCCCGATGCCCTCTACACACATATAGTACACACAAGACACAGAGTCAGAGTGGGCAGTCAACACAAACACACACAAGACACAGAGTCAGAGTGGGCAGTCAACACAAACACACACAAGACACAGAGTCAGAGTGGGCAGTCAACACAAACACACACGACACAGAGTCAAAGTGGGCAGTCAACACACACACACGACACAGAGTCAAAGTGGGCAGTCCACAGACACACAGACACACAGACACACAGACACACAGTCAGAGTCAGAGTCAGAGTCAGAGTCAGAGTCAGAGTCAGAGTCAGAGTCAGAGTCAGAGTCAGAGTCAGAGTCAGAGTGGGCAGTCAACACACACACACATGACACAGAGTCAAAGCGGGGAGTCAACACACACACACGCACGACACAGAGTCAAAGTGGGCACTACCATAATTATTAAACAATTACCATTACATTACTGATTTCTAAAGTTAGTATGAGCTCCACTAATGAGTAAGGATCATTTTACCAACTTGCGCAAAATAGTGCCCGTTCTCCATACCATCAGAGCTCCAGCTGTTTCTGCGGCTGCCCTGCTTAATGGGCGTAGTCCCAGGCAGCTCGAAGCTGGTGAAGATAGCATTCTGGCCGGGCATCTGTGCCAGCTCCACACACTTGCCATTGAGCTGCGGGGAGAGTGTGCACTGCATGGGTTTGTAGGCGAAGGCGGAGCAGTACCCTGACAGGCAGGCCCTCTGATAGAAATCCAGCACCTTCTTCCTGCAAGAACATGGCAGCAGCATAAGAGGAAAACTCCAACTGAGGCCCTTCAGTACGGGCTTTCATTTAATTAAAAGAACAGATTCCATTTCTGAAATGAAATGAGAGACCGATGTTAATGTTGACCACTGTACTTTACGTCTGTCAGCCTACATCATCAGTCAAAAAACTACACTTCCAAAACTCAGCAGAATATACATGACAATGAATACTTGGGCAAACAAAACCACAAATCGAGTCAGTGGACAGTGGGTCTCTTAGACATCAAGTGCCCTACACATGTAACTGGATTGAAACATCATAGTCTTTGTGTTTTACACAAAGGTTTACAAAGGTACTGTACTGTATACTGTAAGTATGCTGTAGTTGATTTCTGTCACTTCTATAAACATGTTTTAGCCTGAGGGTAATCTTTCTTTTTAAAAACATGCAATGTTGGGTACTACAAAGGGTAACACACCTACATATTGTTAATTGTCACTGGCAAAGGAAAGCTAAGAAGGTGCCAGTGGCTGGGGCAAGATTGTCAGACAATACATCGAATTGTGAGGCCCTCGCGGTTCAGGGTTTCTCCGTCATGTGTCAATGACCAACTTAAAAGATTGCATTACATATTATAGACTATAGATCTCAGTACAGAAACCTGCAGTGAACAGCCTACTCTTATGGCACAAAGCTGTAACCTTCTGTGTCTGCATCACCCACCTGTCGGAGCCAGAGAGGGGGTAGATATCTGCACCATCCCAGAAATCCGTGCAGGCCTCCAGGATGAGGTCAGCCGAGCCATGAGAGAGCATCTGAACATTATCTAGATGAGAGAAGGAGGTTGGGAAACAAATTCTAGGAAACACTAGATGGATTTTTTCCCATAATTGTTCTTCAACATTTAATGATTTCCTAATATTAAGATTATTAATAAGAACACTTAAGAAACTGTTTCCTCTGCCCTATTCATTATTGTGCATTTCCTGCTTTAATCACCCATTCCTCTTCCTAGAAATGCAAAATTAATTACTAATATCCCTTAATAGCTTATGCACAAAGACAACTGAAACATGAACTTTCATTAATAAAGAGTAAAGGTTAATTCCATGCTGTAAAGAAAACGCAACATTTCAGCTGTGTTGTCATCTACACGTTCATGTCTTTCATTACCTTTAACAGCAGCAGTCACACCAAATTACAATCCTGAAAAAGCAGAAGACAGCAAGCAAGAAAGAAGAAGAACAACTAAGTCTTTCCTAAAAGAAAATGTTTTGGGGCAGAAAAACTCCCAGCTACTGAAAGGGTTCACAGGACAGGCTACTCATGCAAATTCTTAAGGTCAGGAAGTGCTTATCTTGTAAAAGAACGCTACAGCCAGGGGGGAGAAGACAAGGGTGTGTGTCAGATGAGGAAAGAGGCATACAGAGAAAAACATGCAAGCGGAGGCAAGCAAGCATATTGTTCAAAAAAGAAAGAGGAACTGAGCAGGAGGCACGGGTTCCAGGGCAAGGAGAGTGGTAGCTTACTGGTGGTGGTATCCCTGACGAAGAGGCTGATCAGGTGGCTCAAGGGCGGCTGTCTCTTGTTGAAGTGGTTCAGTTTCCGGGGAATGGCCTCCTTGGTGGCCTCGGCGGAGGGCAGCTGGTATAGCACCAGGTGGTTTTCCAGTTTGAAGAGGTCCTTGGCTCCAGGAGTGAACCCTGTGGTATACAGACACAGGAGACAAAAATGGGACCTAGGATCAAGGACAAACTCATCACAGTCTTCAGGCCCTTGCAGCATTTCTCAGCTCCAGTCTTAGAGGTCTATTAACCTCTTTTTCATGTTAAAAGAGAAAAAGTTTCAGACATGATGGCAGATCTTGTCTGAACTATATTCCCCATAAAGCAGTGAGGAATGGTCTACCACCTTCTGAACTGCTGGTAAAAGAAATTGGTTGCATGACAACTGTATAAAGCAGGTATTTTGTGTGGGTTTTTAAAAAGTCTGTACTTTGAGAGAAGAAAGCAGACCATTTCACTCTGCTTTTTCTATAGAATTCAGAGCCGCCATCTTGACTGAGCCTAATGCTCAACTGAATTTAAAAGGATAACTTTGAAATAACTTAAAAGTATGTTATTTAGCTACACAAAAAAAACTAGAATGTTGACACTGAGAAAAGTGGGTTTGCAATGAACCAGAGTGATAACCAGAGTAATCTTCAACTCTGCTAAAGCAAAACGAGATACAAGACTATGTCAAAACCTGATATGCGATAACATAATAGTTTTTCATTGTGCAGCCCAGGGTTTCTAATGTTGGTCAAATGAGGTCTTATCTTGATTATAATATTACATATATATATTGCATCTGCATTTTAAAATGTTTCCCACAATTAAAAAAAAAAGCTTGTGTCTTATTGTCAATATATTTGCCACAAAACTTTGCAACAGGACCATGAACATTGTGTTTCACATATTCTTAAGTCACTACAAGTCTTTACATTAATAGTTAAAGCTTTGCAGACACAGGTGAGGATTGATATACATGGAACTATCCAATAATATTCTTATCCTCTTATGTGCCCAGCTTCTAAAATTAAGGCACCTGGCCAATGGAACAAATCTAAATGAAAAGAATTCAGAAATCTAACACTTGCACTCTATCTGCTTAACAATAAAAAATACCTTTTAAGGTTGAATTCAGGGAAATCTATCAGTTTAACTCTTTAACCTGCCTAAGGAAGTAGTAGCTCTTGGGGAATGAAAACCACAAAGCACAGGGGATCCAGAAATCAAGGACTGAGAAGCTCTGGGGTAGTCAAGGCCAGCAGCCTGGTGGATGCTGTCCAGCAAGTAACATTCAAAGCCCATGAAGCGTGATGGGTACCTATGAGGCGTGAAAGCTCACAGAGCCCCCAGGGCACGTGTACAGGCAGGACAGTGCCGTGTGTCTCCTGCAGCGCCATGTTGGACAGGTGGTCGGAGAAGCGGCACAGCTGCTCGGTCACATTGGCATTGCACAGGTTGAGCAGGATGTTGAGGCCCAGGGGCTTGAGGCTGGTCAGGTGACACTGCCAGTTGGAGTCATCAAACTGGATGCTGACGGGGTTCTGTTGATCTTGGGACAAGCTCAGCATCTCCAGGTGGTAATCGCAGACAAAGTCCTCTGCCTCACAGCCCAGGCCATCACATTCGCCACACACCTGAAATGTGCACACATGAACACCAAGTAATGTCTGTTTCCTAAGTTTCACACCAAGTACCTCCACTGCTACTAATCTAATGATTTATAATACCTCGTTAGTAAATCTTCCTCATGCCAAGCATAATTTAGGAAACTAAGTCTTCACACAACTGCTTCTAAAATTATCTTCAGATGAATGCGAACCCAGAATTACATAAGCACGAGACACAGGGCAGTTTTATGTTTCACATTCAAAAGAATGATGCTTCTGGAATTCTGGAAATTAATGTGACTTTAATAGGTCTTCACCTTGCTCTTAGCACAGCCCTAATTTCATGGTAATATTTCCTTTCTGTCAGAATACTTTTTGTATTTTATAACCTTTATCACATGCATAATCAGCTCCTTCTAAAAGTTCTACAGAAAACTGATTCCATACAGTGAACTGCCAGCAGTTAATTATTATATAGAACGTGTATTATTTAAATAGCAAAGCTTTTGTGCCATGAAAGTTATGCATTACTAAAACAATGCTTATCATGAAAAGTACCAGAGATTTCCCAACAGCTTCAAAAGGCCCAGCAAGCCAAAATTACCATATTTACCAAATCAGTGTTTTAAGAACAATTAAAACAAGTTGAGATGTTAATGATAATTGATGCAACTTTCTGTTTCTGGGCTACAAAGTCCAGTCAATGCACTTTGGGTGAGTATCAGGGTATCTTGCAGGGGTGGCTCAGTACCATGGAAGCTAGCACTGCTGCCTCAGAGAATGTGGGTGCTGGGTTCATCTCTGTCCCGGGGCACCTCCCGTGTGGTCTTATCCATGCTCTCCTGCATGGATTTTGCTGGGGTGCTTCAGTGTGTGTGTCCTGAGAAGGACTAGCAGGATGCTGTCCTGCCCCAAGCATTTACCAGGAAAGAGAGGATTTCCAAAAATGGATGGATAGTACATTTTAGGCAACACCCATATCCAAGGTAAAATCAATGAAGAAAGGATGTGCTTATTCATATGTAACTTAGTGAGTGAAACCCCATAGGTATTAAAATTTCAGGTATGATCAGGTGTCACTATTGATAATGCAAATCTAGTCACAACACCATTGACAAGGTTTGTAAGGAAACAATCTTAGCAAAACTGTTAACCGTTCATCCAGGTGGATGATGCACATTGGTGGTGGTGGAGGGGAGTCCCCATTACCTGTAAAGCACTTTGAGTGGAATGTCCAGAAAAGCGCTATATAAGTGTAAGCAATTATTATAATTATTATTATTATAATGTGACCTGGTGCCAGATCTGGCCCCTGGTTTTGTTGTCTTGTGAGAGCAGGGTGGCAATGGTACCTGTATGGGCTCCTCATCACCCCCCTCGGTGTCCCGGCTGAAGCTGACGTTGGAACCCGAGGGGTGTTTGGTTCGGCGGCTATCAGGGGGCCGTTTGTGTCGCAGGGGGTCCGAGGAGCGGGCAGTGTCGTGGGAGGTCTCACTGAGATCCTGTTCGTTGGCAATGTGAAGACAATCCAGGGCAGGCTGACACAGCAAGGCATCTGCTTCCTGGGCCTAGGAGTACAGCCAAAGTCAGGTTAACCCCTCTGTCCAGAGTTGATTCACCCAGGTGCAAGTAAATCCCAGCTCCCTACACACAAGGAGAACCTTTGCTAATGAGTATCTTATCTAATGTCTCTGCTATGTGTCTTTCTGCTAAAATTCAATTCCACTAAAAGATCTCAAAAGGGGCCACCTTGACTCAGATACAGTGCTGTGTGTATATATCCATCCTAACATTATTTTTATTGTATGTACAACGATATCTAAAAGTAAAGGAATCATTGATGTCCTCTTTCTTCATTTTACTTTGTTTTTTTTACTGCATGACTACAATGGTGATCTGCCAAACACTACATGGCTTCCATTGTGCTCTGTCCACACTGTGCCCACCTCATCTCGCTCCTCCTCTCCCTCCATTCGGCACAAGGAGCCCACTGAGAGGTCATCTTTCAGGTCTTCCTGGCTGTCATGGGGCGGCTCCACCCTCCCGCTGAAGAACAGCACTGTCTCGGGGCTGGGGTTGGGCCAGGACAGGATTCCCTGTTTGTCCACACAGCACAACACCTGCACACAGCCACACAAGAACATCTGAAAGGTTACGAATTAGAGAAGACCCTCTGGGCCCACTTTCCTTCCTGGGTTAACAATAAACAATTGGTCCCAGGATTCTTGGTCCTTCTTTTATTTTTAATCCTGAAGATGTCTACTAAAATCCAGTGAACAGAGAACATGCTCAGTTCATTAGAAAGTATCACAAATAACAGCATTTTAGTAGTCAAACATGCTCTCCCTTCATCTTCAACCTTGCACTGCTAGAAAAAATCCTTCCCAAGATTCCTCTACAAATGTCCAACTACAGCTATGTCCTCCAGCTCCTGCAAATTTAAGGATTATACAGCATCTTACCAGTTAACAGTAGCTGTTCCTATATCATTTTGTATGTGTTAATGATCCAAACATCTCCTTGGTCCAGGCACGATCTGTTCTGGTTCCAGTATATTTTCACTCATGTTAGTATGACACCGCATGTTCCTGTCTGTGCTAATCCATTCATTTCACAGTCTATTCCGTCATATCATTCTTTCCCTCCTTCTTTGAATTGTTTTTACTTTTTGTACCATCACTGTATCACGTTCACGTTTCACATCCATTTGTTAATACAGGCCAGATGAATACTTAGCTGGAGAATGGCACACCCTGGCTGTAATAAAAACACACTGTAGGCTGTAGAACTAAAAACACAGAACTGCTACAGAAAAGAGGTGATGAGATGTTCAGCCAATCTAGCCTACTTTGCATTTAGAAGCCAATTCATCCAAAGATCCCAGCAACTATTTCTTGAAAGAAGCCAGGGTATCATCTTCAACAACAAAGCCAAGCAGCTTGTTTCACACTCCTATGCCCCTTGGATAAAGCAGTGCCTCCTGTTCTCAGCTTCAAATACATTTTTGCATAGTTTCCATTTGTGTCCTTTAGTTCATGTTTCACTGTACTTTCTGAAATCTAAGGGTTGACTCTGTTAGTGCCTTTGAGGATTTTGAATACTTGAATCGGGTCTCCCCTGAATCTTTTCCCTTCAAGACAATAAAGGTTCAGTTCCTTCAGCCTGTCAGTGTAGGGCATTCCCTAAAGCTCTTGATGCTCTTCTCTGGATTGATTCCAGAGCAGCTTCAGCTTTTCTATAACGTGGAGACTAAACTATATACAATTTTAACATAACATCTGTTATAAAATGTACATTTTTGACTACATACTGTAACATTTTATTTGTCTTAATTGCTACCCCACATTCCTCATTATATATAATATCCACATTATTTGTAGATAATATAAATAATGTATCAACATAATCACCTAAGTGTTTTTCATAATAGCAGAATAGCAGAAGTGCAATTATTACCCCTGCTTGAGTGCGCTTGATGTCTTCTGGGATACTCACAGTGACAGAGCCCAGGGTGTGCAGCAGGCTGGAGGTGTAGCACAGTGTCTGGGACTGGTCTCTGAGGACGCTCAGGAAATGCCTCCACACGCAGCGCAGCACCTCCTGTCAATCCACCAGAAACGCAAGACTGTCAGCTCTGATCGGGCCGAAGAGCCAGCACTTCAGCCTGTCTCTCAGCCTAAGCGATATAGACCCATAGGTTCTGAGTAGTTTACTGACAAAGCAAGAGCCACATGTTTGCCTCAGTGCTGCATGAATATCTGCTGCAGGTCCTGCAGCATGTGCGCTGGAAGAACAAGCCTAAAAGTAAAGCCTAAAGCGTGCTTTTCTGTTAAGCAGCTATGTGATGCTCTCTTTTTTACAAGGGTTTGAAAGGTTTGCATGACCAACTGAATATCTGTCTTTTCCTTTGAACTCCTAAGTCAAAGCTAGGAGTGGACTCAGCATTCCAAACTGTCGAGACCACTCAGCAAACTCTGTACACAATCAGCGCATGAACGTAAGGTCTACTTAAGATTAATTGTGTAGCTTTCGATCTCCTATAGGATCATTGTGTGGATCCTACTGCACACGCCCAGCACCTACCAACGATTCCAGAATCACTGATCTCTGTAGTATCAAAAATAAAGCATGGTATCATCCTGCTGACAGGTTCTCATGCTCCAGGAATATCTGCAAAAACTAGATTCTTCCACAATGCGGAATCTAACAAATTGAAGTCTACTGCAATGACGTTGATCTGGTGTGGTCTGGGAAAATGCATTCAACTGGACAAGAGACAAACGTGGTTCAAAAAGGAACATGGTAACAATGGCATTTCTGGAAAGGAAAAGGGGACGGTTAGACATGAACAATGCAGCGAGAGTTCTTTCAAGAGGTCTCTGTAGAGCAGACATCAGTGTTGTTTCACTGTCACAGTCGGTTCTTAACAACCAAAAATGAGCAATATACATGACACATATACTGTACTGTATATAGCAGTCCAGGGCATGTTTAAACTAAGTAATTAAGACATCGTTGGAAAACAAGCCACACTACTATAAAAGAGGGAGCAGCCAATCCTGACTAAAAAGAACAAATTTACTTGATAAGCTGATCAAAACCGAGATGCGGAACAGATCTCATTGGCATGAGGGGTCAAATGGCCTTCCTTTATCTGTAATCTTCTATTTGTCTCTATACAGTACAGGACCAGGAGGCATGCAAACATGTCCAGATTTAAGAGCACTTTGTGGATTATAAAAAAAAACTGGGAATTGCATTCAGAGATGAGAGCATCCATTAACCCACCCCGACTCGAAAGTTTCCCATTTGCGGGAATTGATAGTGATAGGAATTGCCTGCAATCTGCATGAAAGAAGTATATCAGGGCTCAGAAATGGACAATGCAGTTCCAATACTTACCATTAGCCATAAAGGTTGTTGGTTAACACATTTTGCTGCTTTTTCTTATACGAGTTAAAGGCCAAAACCTAACCGTAATCATTTTCCACACAAGGAGAGGAGCACACCTTGGCCGAGACAGGACAAGTCCTTTCTGAGGTAGCAATCTAATTCCTAATGGCTAAGCAAACAAACAAAACTGCAGGCAGCCAGTCACCTAGCCACCCACCCTGACAAGAAAACGCCATTGCTGAGCTGATCTGGAAAGCCTGGCTGTCCTATTCAAAGCCAGCATGCACAAAGCAGATAACACAACAAATGATCAGATATGAAAAATGTAGCTACAGTTATTTAAGTATCAGGCAGCACTAGGTGTTTTCTCCCATTAACAAAGAATCTCTCAAGATGCTCAAGACGTGCTTCCACATCCAATGCAACATCAGGAGATTTTGAGCTGGTCACCACTTTTCATTTTCTGTTCAAGGTTTTCAATGAAGAAATTAGTCAATTTTTAAATGTCCAGACAACAGTGTCCATTTTGTGCAGAACAGCTACAGGCACACTTCCATCAACTGGCAAACCACTGAAGTTAAGGAGATGTGAGCCTGGTCAGTACCTGGATGGGTGACCTACTGGGAAAGCTAAGGTTGCTGCTGGAAGAGGTGTTCTATGAATCAGCTTCTTCACTCTGTTCTCCTCTCACAGCTGTTCCCCTCTAGTTGTGATAGATGTGTGGTGAGCGTACTGTGCGCTCTGGTTGCTGCCATATCACCCAGATGGGTGGTGCACATTGGTAGTGGTGGAGAGGAGTCCCCATTACCTGTAAAGCACTTTGAATAGAGTGTCTAGAAAGACACTTTAGAAGTATAAGAATTATTATTTATTATCAAGGTCTAGAGTAAGGTGCTGTCAGTGTCATCAGAAATTTAGCAGCCTCAAAAGACAAGGTCTTGGTAGGCAGCATGGAAGTTTACATCTTAGGAGAAGACAAACTGGACTTGAGTGTTTCTCAGAAACAAAAACGGCTTTAACTGCAGCCATGTGGTGATACAAAGCACTCTTTAGGGAACCCAGCCTTCAAATATTACATCTTGGAGAACTATAGATTGAGAACATATAGATTGAGCAGCCAAGAGTCAAGAAAAGAGTCAAGAGTCAACATGAGAGTCAAGAAACACTGGAGGACATGAGAAGCAAGAAATAAAATGCAGAGAAGTATGACCAACCTGTTTCCCGTTAGGATTTAAACAGGTTTCTCTTCAAGAGGAGGGCTGTGTTTTGCTTCATGCCCTCTCAAGCTGTCAGTACTTCTGTCTTCTTTAACTGCTTCGACTCACACCAGGCTATTTAGCTTATTTCCCTTGTGTGTCTATAGCCTTAATGTTCAAGTTTTGCCCACCTAGGCCATTCTGATACAGAATGTCTGCAAGTTAGTTCTGAAGATGGTTCTTTACTTCCTAACATCACGTCTCATCAAGCTGTAACAACTGTTCTCCTTGTCATGTCACAATAAACTAATCTGCTGTTCTTTCAATTTTAACACTCTTGTTTTTCCTGAAGTGTTTCATTAATCACTGATTCTTGTGGGTGAGATTTCAGTTTCAGCCCAGGTAAACAGATAAAATGATTAATAAATAAAGAGACCACAGATTTTAACAAATCCATATATAAATAACAATAAACAGGTGGAAAATGAAAAGCCATTTGGTGAGAAATACATACTATACCTGTGCTATGGTCCTTATGATAGCGCTTTCATTTTTCAGTCATTTCCAACAATATTAACTAAAATAATGGGAGGACTAAGCACTACAGGATTTACATTGAGAAATTAATCATGACTAGAGTGCTCTGCAGGTCATGGAACAGTTTATGTTTATATTCTGTGCCCATCCAATCTGTTGAGGGCCTTTAAAGCAGCAATGCCTGGACAAAGAGTATCTGCAGACACGCTCACCTGTCAGAGCCCTTCACCTTTTGACACTGTCTTACAGAAGAGACAGCACTGTCTGGAGGAGCGGTGAGTCTCTCATTGCAGTCAGAGCTGGCCGCTTGCAGGCAATCTGCTGCAACAAGTCACAGGACTCACGATTTCTCTGACAACCAAGAGCTCCCTGGCTGAGTAGTAACAGACTACATCAGACTACACTAGTCTGATAATTGTAAGCCGCTTTCTGGATAATCCTGGTCACCGTCAGGACATGAGCCAGGCTTGAACCAGCAAAGCAACAACTCTGAAGGGAGTGCAAAGACAGGGTGAACACACATGGTAGACCCAGAATCACATTAAAATTGTAATGCCTCTTCTTCCTATACAAGCTGCTTATCAGCCTGAACTACGGACAGCATCAGCAACCTAAGACTACACAGAAAGAGTCCATCTGGGACATAAGTGATAATATTCATCTTAAGAACAGATCTTCATAATTATGTGAAAATTTATGAAACTTAATCACCAAGCTTATATCCATATAGTTACATGCCTTTACAGTTGAAATTCTAATCATCTCATCATTTTAGTTGTAATTGTTTCTTAATTTCATACAGATGTCAAAAGCAGCCTGTTTTACCTCAATGGTGTATTCAGTTATAAAACAAACAGCTCAAGGTATTCAGCTCTGGGTGCTAAGAAGCCAAAAGAAAAAAAAACTGCAAGCTGTATCAACAAGAGAGAGGGACCCCTCTGAAGGGCCTATGTTGCCTTGCTCTGTATATGAAATAAAGCAGTTGTGCAGTTCCATCACCCATCATGATAACATCATGCTGTCCAAAGCCATGCAGGTGTGAAGGACAAGCCTAGGGGAGGCAGATCTAAGGGAGCTTGAGTAAAAGTAGCAGTCTAGAAAATGATGGGCACGGGAGGGTAGAAATTGAACTTTTGTTCTGATACAAATTGATTTAGACCTATTATTTGTCAAAGGGAAAGGGAAGGCTTTCCACTGGGAACTTTAAAGGAGGTTGAACGTAGTTTTGGACATACAAGATCTTGATATTTCCTAACACAACGTATCAAGCAAATATGTATAGCAAAAAAAATATAGCAATTCCTTGCATTTGTACAGCATCCAAAAGAATGCCAAATCACTTTATATATAGGAGGGTATCCATAGAAAGGCAACACGCACCTGGGTGACGTGTGGCTCCAACTAGGCACCGGTAGTTCAGTGCATGGTAGACCAAGTGGAGAAGTTACAAATTAATCCAATACTAGAAACTTGAAGAGGCTAGACTGAGAAGGCCTGACACAATCTCCAGCGTGGACAGAAAACTAATTAGGAGTGGGTCAAGATGAATACTTCATAAATAATGAATTCCATTCCTCTGTCTTACAGAAGATCGTCAAGTAAAAAGAATAATACACTGAACACAACAAAATAATATGTAGAAAACCCAGTGTATTAGATCAGTCACGAATTAGGCAGCAGAACAAATGTTCACTATGAAAGGCAAGCAAAGAAATGAGTATGTAGGAACTAAAGACCCACTGAAAATGTAGATTAAATATATGATCTGCTGACACATGAATATAGTTTGCAATGAAAACTGTCAGACTGGTGTAAGCAGAGCATATTCTAGTCAAAGTTGCGCATGTAAACAGAAAAGGAACAACAGGTAGGCTGCATATGCAGACAAGTGCTCAACTTGTTGGGGTACAGGCAGGCAGAAAAATAGGCAGCTCTCTGACTTGAACCTTTGTCACTGAACAGCTTGTAAAGAACACAGAATCATGCCATAGAATCTCAAGACTCTTAAATCACCTGGAGTAGCACTCAAGACACTTAAATCAGCTGGTGTCATTTCATTTGAGTGGAAAAAACAAATAGCTCAAATAATTTAGGTGGAAAATACATAGGCACATCTGAAGTTCAAGGGGACTTGTAATGGTACATTAATAAAAGAGTAAAAACAGCATTTCTGTTGTGAGCACAGAAGAAACATATACTGTACACATGGGCTTTGAAGGCATGAGAGAAAATGGAGGCAGACACAGGCAGCAATCCCAGCTAAAGACAAGAGAAGTCAGGTAGAAAGGGAAACCTAACCAGGCTATGCAGCACAAGATCACACAGCGCAGCTGAGACCCTTGGGGCAGAAGAGTGGAAGAGCTGCAGGCAAGGAAGGAGGGATGAACAAAAGGCAGGGGAGAGGGTGAGGAGGTGAGGGGCTGGGTTGGGTTGGGGGTGGGGTTATTCAGGGCATATACCTGTGAAGACACCACCTCCGTGTAGCTGCTTAGAGTGTCCTCTGAGAACTTAGCCAGCTAGAGCGAGAGAAGAAGCCGGTTAACAACACGGGCAGTGTGCTCCTCTGGGCTCTCTCTGGACACCAGCCCTGCCAGCAAGCAGGCAGTGTCCCAGCCATGCTGCTCCCAGCACTGCCACAAAACACACACACAATCCCTTTATCTGGATCATTATCCAGCGGTTTCTCTGGTTTTGCGCTCCCATACTTAGTTTGAAAACCCAATGCTTATGTCATTGTACTTTACTGAAGAGACCCACACCTGAGCCACAATCAATAGAGTTTAAACACTTTAGAGACTATAACAAATGTAGTGTTAAACTGAAATAAAAAGGTTAAGTAGATCCTTTTGATGTCTTTTTTTTCCAAAGAAAGAAGAAACAAAGACACTAATTTCCTGTTATTTTTAAAAGCCCAACACATTTCTCTGGGTCTTTTAAAAAAAAAATAGTTCCTGACTCAAAGGAGTATTCAGTAGTAGTCAGTACTATTTACTGACTTGGGAACTCCATTCCTCAGTATCATTGATCTGTGGAATTCAGGAATGAGGCTCATAAAAGGCCAAAGGTTGCCTTAGGGAAAATTGCACCTATAAAGTCAGGAATGTCAGTTCCAACATGCACATTTATTTCCCATGTCCCATCTGAGATTTGCTGTCTCAAGACACTGCCACACCTGTACATTTAGATAAATGTCCCATCCACCCAGTCAATCCTAACCACCACTAAAGCACAGCCCTAGAGAATCAGCCAGTAAAGATGTTTTCTCTAGGATCCAGGGACCAAAGTTCAGGACTGGGTCATGTGACTAGGATTCCAATCAGCACTGCTCAGGACCTTTGAACTTGTAACATGGGAAAACATGAACAGTGCGATGGGTGGGCAGGTCGGAAGAGCCTAAGTGCAAGCTTCCTCTTTCTCCCATTGTGAGTAGAGGGCCTATTTGATAACTAAATTTGATAAGTTCTATCTTATAAACATAAGTACCGCCACTAAAAACAAATATTGCAAAAGGACATGAGACATAAAGGTACCCGTGGAAGGTATCTGACCTCTGAGGGTCACTGTGGTAATAGATCAAGCCTATTTTTGATGACTGTTCCTCTCAAGCAGCACCGAAGGCCATGTTAACACACCCTCCTAGCGAACACAAGCAATCCAGCATTGAGTAATCTGAATCCTGGAGAATTTAGATTGTTCACCAATTTCAGCAAAGAACCTTTCTGAAACTGGCTCATTAAAACTCCACCTTACTGAGTGTTAAAGAGAAATATAACACATCAAACTTCCAATCCACTTTCCAACTAGTATAGTTAAGCTGAAAACTTAAGTTCTTTACACTATGATGCATTCCGGTAGCAAATTTGTCTTACTGAGATTTTATATTCTTCTGTATTTATAAATACAGGCCCCAGCCCTACCACTGTTTGGAGAGCATGGGGTTGAGACTGAAGGGACAGGCAGCTCACCAGGCCAGTGGGAGAGGTCTTGTTGGACTCGGCCAGGACACGGGCCTCACCGTAGGCATTGACCAGGACCCACATCACAGGGAAGAGCAAGGGGAGGATGGGCAATACTCCCATCACCTAGAATAGGACAAGCGGGAAAGATTCAGGGAACAGCCAGCTCAATATTGCTACACACACACCCACTAATGCAATTATATATACGGTGAAGCATTTGCACATCACTGTAATAATGGCTGAAGTAACATACAGACATGTTTCTTATGGCCTCTGAACCTGAAAGTCATGGGTTCAATTCCAGCGTGAGATCATGTTGCTGTACCCTTGAGCTTCACTCTCCGTATAGGCATCACAAATAAGAATTTGTTGTCAGCTGATCCATTCATGCATTTTCTCACCGCTTCTTCTAATTCTGGGTAGTGGGGGAACCAGAACCTATCCCAGCAAGCAACGGGCACAAGGCAGGGTACACCTGCTCAGCCCCTGCGCTGAGCGGCAGTGATGTTGACCGCTGTATCACTATTCTTCCCATCCAAAATGACGTTTCTGGTTAAATAATGGACTCAGTTATATATATATAAATAATCAGCGTTCCTACACTCATGTGACATTTTTAAACTTCAGTATCTAGTACTGATTTTTAGGTTCTCTTCCCCTCGTGATCCCTGAACACACCTGTGTGAAACAGATACTAGAGAAGTTCCTTTTTTGAATCCCTGATAGGATCCTGGCATCTCTCCACCAGGGTGACATCGACCTTGAGATCGAACACCCCCAAGAATAAATGCAACCCAGCTTCAAGAGTGACTTAAAATGTTCAGTATGCAAACAATGTACAGCAGATTTATTTTTTTACTTCAAAAGCTGAAACAAGGAGCTAAAATTAAAAACCTGAGGCTGTCACTTAATTCAAGATTATCGACAACAAATGTCCTTGTCAAAAAGTTTCTAGACAGGTCAGGCAGATGTCTAGATGTCTATGGTTCACCTAGCTTCTATACACCTAGACTGTATAGTACTTTGCCTGTTTGGATAAGAAACTTAGTCTGTAAAAAAATCTAAATCTTTTAAAGACTATAATGCATAACCATAGCTATTTATTTTTACTTATTTTGCTTTTAATGTATGCAATAATGTGCAGCATCTTGAGATAAAATCTGACTGGATGAGGAGATCCAGACATGTCTGAATCGGGTACCTGGAGCTGGAAGAAGTTGAAGCGGCCAGGTGTGAGCCCAGGGGCATCAACAAAGTACCGCACTGTGTTGGTAATCAAGAAAGCCACCTGAGAATAAAGGGAAAATCACTGAGCCACAATGATAGACAGACTTAGTCCTGCACTGGCAGAGACAATCAATACTAAACAACAGAAAATCTAGTGACATAGAGGTCAGGATTCAAGCAAATCATACCTGCCTGCAAAGTGTAAACTTCTACTCATTGCAAAATTGAAACTTTCAAGATTTCTAAGCTGTTTTATGATGACACAGCTAGCAGCTTCATAAAGAAACAGTTATATATAGTCTCACTGTATGAGTCTAAAATACAACCATTAGACTCACCAACATCTATAGACACAGCTCTACGTCAGCTGATCACCAAATGCCAATTAATTGCTAGGATTATAAAGGATACCCATTTGTCTTCATTTAAAGGCAAGAGAATGGTAAGAATAAAAGCTTTAATTTGTTAAATCTTACAGCCTGATGAGTTCATACAAAAACAACTCATCAAAAAGAAGTAGGATTTGTTTGTCAGCCACCCACATCTCTTCAAAAGGTGTTCATTATTCTTTAAAGTAAATGCCAGAGCTCTTCATCTCACAGAAAATGTAAAGGTGTGGAACACAGGAGATATATACATGCAGGAAGCAGCTCAACTTTTTACTTAAGCAGAGATACTCAAGTCATAAAGTGCCCCAGCTCAGCTCAGCACCTTTTCTAGGTCTCTTCAGTCTTCAGAAGCTTAATAAAAAGACTTAAATCTCACTTCACTATGAGCTTTAAGTTCCAAATATTGCTAGTTTAAGCTTAAACCAAGAACAGGAGACAAGCTTTTACTTGTAGAGTTGAAGCTTAAATCAAAGCTACCTAACCATGTAGTTGAAGCCAATGAAGTCTTTTAAGACAGGGTTGTATGGGATTGAATGACGAGCGGAAACAGAGTGCAAAATAAGGCTTCCTACCAGCATGGCGGGGCAGGC